CTTGTGCCGCGCGGTGACCTGCACGGGCCACAGGAGCCGGAGGGTGGACGCCGGGACGACCTGGATCCCGAGAAATGGTGAGTGTGCGGGGCCGGCTGTCCCGAGACCGGGGAGGACGCGCAGTTGGAACCGGCCGGAACCGGCTGTGGCGGACGTGGGCCTCCCCGGAGTCTGCGGCCCCGAGTCCGCCGCTGGCGCAGCTCGACCCTCGGTCCCCTCCGCCTCGGGGTGCGTCCTGGGCCGGCGGCGGGATCCCCGGGCGTGCTGTCCTGTCCCTGCACGGGGACCTGGGCCCCGGCGCGGCGTCCTCCCCGGGCAGCTCGGCGCCTGCAGCCCCGCATGTCCCCGGGTCGTGCGGGGACGACGAGCCGGTCATCGGGGGTCCCGAGTCGGTGTGTGGGGTTCGTGCAGGGTGGGGCTATGATCTGCGAGGTCCCCAGTTCCTGCTGTCCCCACAGGGGACCAGTTTTCTGAGTTTTCCGAATGGTGGGAAGCAGTTTGCAATTCTCTGCTGTGTCCCCCCAGTTTGCAATTCTCTGCTGGCTCTCCCCAGGGCGAGAAAGCCCCCAATTTCCCGTTCACTCCCCGCATTCCTTAGCCGGCCCCCACCCCCGTAATTCCTGGTCCCCCTAGCTGCAATCCTCGCAGGCGCCGTATTAAAGGCCATTATTTCAGGGAGCAGGGCATGGCTCATTTTGGGGGAGCATTTCACATGAGGAAAGCAGAGAATAGCCACCTGAAACTCAAGTGTGAAAACTCTTTCTGGCTCTTCTCCGTTTATCTTAGGTAGGAACAGACCACTTTTTTTTTTTAATTGCTAGAGGGTGCATGCAGTCTCCAGACAGAGAGAGACAGAGACAGAGAGAGACCAAGCACCTTCCATGGAGCATGCTCGTGCGAAATCCTTTCTCATGCATTTGTCTATCCTCTTGAGATTGGGGGCTCACAAGTCACACCTGTTGTTTTTTGTTTTTTAATTTATTATTTTTATTGTTTAAATTTGCTATTGGGCACGTGCGCTCACCGAAGAAGGCAGAGATAGAGGGGAAGTAAGAAAGCATGCTGCCAGGCTCAGGGCTTGAACCATGGTGGGCCACGTGGGATTCCAGTGTCCCAGCCACCATGCCATCTGCTGGCCTCCTCACACTGGTGTTCTGGGAGATCCAGCTCCCCTAACCACTAGGCTGCAGGACAGGCCCAAAAGCAGACACCCGACGAGAAGGTCCCCCCTTGCAAGTTTTTTTTTTATAGGGCGAGTGCGCTCGCCAGAAAGACAGAGAGAGACAGAGAGACAGAAAGCGAGAAATCACCCCCCAGGGGGGATGGCCACACTGCAATCCCTTCTCCGTTCTCCTCTCGGGATCTTGGGCACGCACGCACACGCGCCTGGCGTGAGTTTTAGCCACTGGGTCCAGGACCAGAACCGCAGTCGACTACATGGAAGTCCAGCGACATAGCCATTACGCTAACTGCTGTTCCCCCCCACCCCCCTTTAACTGGATCCCACGTGGCTGACTATGTAGTTCGAGTCCTGGAGCCGGTGGATTAAACTCATGCTGGGTGCATGTTCATACATGCCCAAAATCCCAAGAGGAGAATGGAGGAGAAGGGATTGGGATTACGGCATGGCCATCCTCTCTGGGGGGTGATTTCTCACCCCCCCCTTCTCTCTCTCTTTCGGTAAGTGCATGTGCCCCAGGGGGAAAATGTAAATCCAAAAGTCAGTAAAATTCAGACTCAGCAAGGCAGTTTTGAGTTATGTACATTGGTGAAAGGGTTATGAATTTGAACGTTTATTTGAGCTAGTGGTAAAATTTTGATAAATGTATTTGGTTCACGTTGCAGTTGTTAATATTACGTTTAATTTGATCAGAGACAGATGAGAGAGAAAGGGAAAGTGAGAAAGCAAACCACCAGGCCCAGGACTCAAACCGCGGTCAGCCATGTGGGAGTCCGGCGCCTCTAACCACCGCACCACCTGCCAGCCCTGGCGCAGAGGTTTTGAGACCTGTGAGATGTTGTGAGCGATAGAGTGTCCTCGTTGTTCAGAACCCAGTCCCTTTCCCAGTGAAGCGAGGTTGATTGTAGAGAGCGACTCAGGGCAGGGCTCCCACATGGCTTCAGGACGGGGACAGGTGGTCTGAAAGACTAAGCATACATATCCAGGTTTGGGGGCCAGCAGGTGGTGTGGTGTGGTTATGGCTCTGGATTCCCATATGGCCGACCACGGTTCAAGTCCTGGACCTGGTAGCTTGCTGTCTCTCCCTCTCTCTTTGGTCAGATTTTTAAAAATGATCATGATGGATAAAATGAGATAAAATCTTTTATTATTATAATTTTTCTTTTTAGAGAGAGAGAAAATTTTGCTCTAGGGCACATGTGCTTACAGGAGAGACAGAGACAGGAAGCAAGAAATCACCCCTCATGGGCATGGCCATACCACAATCTCTTCTTCTCTTGGGATCTTGGGCATATAGACACATGTGCCCGGCATGAATTTTCGTGAATTTTAAGATGCCAGATCCGAGACTTGAACCGTGATCAGCTACATGGGAGTCCAGCAGTGCAAACCTACAGCCAATGCTGGTCCTAAAATTAAAAAAAAAAATCCGGACTTGGAACCATAGCCCCATGCCTGGTCCATGGAAGGGGAAGGAGGCTAGAGATTGAATTCTGTAAATATGCGTGAACAGCCCAGCAGGTAACATAGCGGTTAAGGTGCTGAATTCCCACCTGTCCAATGGCTATTCAAGTCCCAGGTCCGGTGGCTTGAAAATCCCAATAAATAGATAAATGTTTTGTTTTTTAAAGAATTACTTTATTTAACTTTATTTATCTACTTATTTATTTTAATTTGACCAGAGAGGGACAGAGAGAGAGAGAAAGTGAGAAAGCAAGCCACCAGGTCTGGGATTTGAACCCTGGCCAGCAATGTAGTAGTCCAGCGTCCTTAAACACTGTGCCCTCTCCAGCCCTAATAGATAAATGTTTAAAAAGGAAAAAGAAAATGTAGAAAGCAAACCATTTGATGTATTTTTGGGGAAAAAAAAAAAAAAAACACCTCATGAACAAAGGCATTTGGACAGCTTCTGGGGTGGCGAACACACTGCTGCGCTGGGGTTGGCGGCTCAGGAGACTCCCCGGTAGTACACTCTGGATTCCCCCTGACAATGGAGCATTTTCCCTTTTTTTTTTTTTTTTTTTTTGCTAGAGGGCAAGTGTGAGCCTTGGAGACAGAGAAGGAAAGAAACCCCCCTTCCCCCGCACTCCCCTGTCATGGGACAAGACAAGCCACAGTGCCCTCTCCATCTCTCTGTTTGGGTTGGGACAAGCATGGACAGACACTTGGCATGTTCCTTTTTTTTTTTAAGGTTTTTTTGCTATAGGGCACATGCGCTCTCCAGACAGAGACAGAGAGACAGAAAGTGAGAAATCACCCCCCCAGGGGGCATGGCCACGCCGCAATCCCTTCTCCTCCATTCTCCTCTCGGGATCTTGGGCACGCACGCACACACGTGCCCGGCGTGAGTTTAAGCCACCAGGTCCGGGACGCGAACCATGGTCGACTACATGGGAGTACAGCAGCATAGCCATTATGCCAACTGCTGGTCCCTTGGCATGTTCAATCTCCCTGAAACTTGAATTTGCTATAGGGCATGTGTGCTCGCTGGAGAGACAGAGAGAGACAGAGAAACAGAAAGTGAGAAAATTATCCCCCAGGTCGATGGGGGGGGGGGGGGGGATGACTACACTGCAGTCCCTTCTCCATTCTCCTCCTAGGATTGTGAGCACTCACACACATGTGCCTCAGTGTGTTTCAAGCTGCCGAGTCCGGGACTCAAACCACAGTAGGCCATGCGGGAGTCCAGCGCTTTAACCACTACACTACCTGCTGGTCGAGGTAGCTAAATCCCACGTGGCTGACCCTGTGGTTCGAGTCCTGGACCCAGCAGCTTGAGAAACATGCCAGAGGCGTGTGCATGCATGCCCAAATCTAGAAAGGAGAGAGAAATGGAGAGGGGATTGAGAGTGACAATTCCCTTTGAGGGGTTCTCTTCCTCCTTCCTTCCTTCCTCTGTGTATCTCTGTCTCTGGCAAGCACACACCCTTTCTATCAAAAACAAAAGAAAAAAAATCAAAATTCTTTTGCTTTTCCACAGGTGTATTTTTTTATGATTATTCCTTGGGATCTTTCTCAAGAGATAGCCTATAAGCTCTAACCTTGCCCTGTTGAGTTTCGGAGCTCTGGTTGTGGATTTTCGCAGCGGGTGGTTTAATGGCAAAGTTGCCGACCGTGACCAAGTGTCCTTCCACCAGGTAACTTGTCTACCCTGGAAAACGCCCTTGTGGCTCCTGTCTAAGCCGTGTCTGGTTTATCCTGAGTAAGATAGTGATTCTGTAGGAAAACCACGAATGGGAAAAAAGTTAGGTTTGGGGGCCAGCAGGTGGCGTGGTTGTTAAGGTGCTGGACTCTCACATGGTTGACTGCAGTTCGAGTCCTAGACCTGGCGACTTGCTTTCTCACTTTCCCTTTCACTCTGTCTCTGGTCAAAATTTTTTTTCCAAAGAATTATTTTATTTAACTTTATTTATTTACTTATTTCAATTTGACCAGAGAGGGACAGAGAGAGAGACAGAGAGAGAGGGAAAATGAGAAGGCAGGCCACCAGGTCTGGGACTCAAATCATGATCAGCCATATGGGAGTCCAGCATCGCCATTACCACACCATTTGCTGGCCCCTCTCTGATCAAACTTTTAAAAAACATTAATAAATGAAATTAACTAAATCTTTTTTTAGGAAGTACTTATTTATTATTATTATTAAGTTTGATGAAGAAGAGACAGAGAGAGTAAGAAAGCAAAACCCCAGGTCCAGGACTTGAACTACAGTCAGTCATATGGGAGTCTAGCACCCTGACCACCTTGCCACCTGCTGGGCTCAAATTAAATAGATTTTTTAAAAAATATATTTTTTTTTAAGAATTATTTTACTGGGACCAACTGTTGGCATGGTGGCTGTTGGCATGGTGGCTATGTCGCCGGACTCCCATGTAGTCGG